AGGGGATATAACATGTTATGAGTACTGTAGTATAGTGTGTGAGTCATGAGGGATATGACATGTTATGAGTACTGTATTGTAGTCCGAGTCATGAGGGACATAACATGTTATGAGTACTGTAGTGTGTGAGTCATGAGGGATATATCATGTTATGAGTACTGTAGTGTTGTGTGTGAGTCATGAGGGATATAGCATGTTATGAGTACTGTAGTGTAGTGTGTGAGTCATGAGGGATATATCATGTTATGAGTACTGTAGTGTGTGAGTCATGAGGGATATATCATGTTATGAGTACAGTTAACCCTCACTTTACGCGGTTAATGTAACCCGGAGGGTACCGTGGAAAGCGACAGCGTAAAGTGAATAACATAACATATGGGATTAATTGAAATGGAGTCAGGCCGATCCCCAAACTCCACTTCTGACACATAACTATGTTGTAGTAAAATAACATCTTAATTTTATGATGATACATGCACACAATTAATACTTAAAAATAAGAAATACAGTCGCAAGTTAATGTCCATTCAAATAATGGACCCGACTCCTCCCCTTCTTCTCACACTACACTGCTGGCTCTTCCTCTGAAAATTTTTGGGAAAACCAGGTATAGTAATAAATAATACCTCAAACTAAAGTTAGGATAATATAATTGACATTGCTGGATTCCTTGTAAGACCAGGAATATTTTGAATATAAATGTCATATATTTTTCACAAAAGATAACATATTTACTCAGATTAAACATTACATCTAAAATTTGTATGTCTAATGCAAAATCTATGATGTTTATATTCAAAATGATCATCAAATTGTAAGAATTCCGCAATTCCCCACCCCCACCAATCCTCCCTTCAAGAGATGTTGGGTGAAAAAAATAAATTTTAACATTTTGTATTAAATAATACCTCAGATTAAAGTTAGGATAATATAATTGGCATTGCTGGATTCCTTGTAAGACCAGGAATATTTTGAATATAAATATCATATATTTTGCACAAAAGATAACATATTTACTCAAGAGTAAACATTATATCTAAAATTTATGTCTAATGCAAAATCTATGATGTTTATATTCAAAATGATCATCAAATTATGAAATTCCAGCAATGTAAATTATATTCTGGCGGATAATTTGTATGATTTTATGAGCTAAATTAAAAAAATTATACTTCACCCGTGTAAAGGGGTACACCCACCGCGGAATGTGAGCATCCTGGGTTCTGGCAGGGCACCGCATAAACGTGGAAACGCGGAATGTGGGACCGCGTAAAGTGAGGGTTGACTGTACTGTAGTGTTGTGTGTGAGTCATGAGGGATATAGCATGTTCTGAGTTCTGTAGTGTGTGAGTCATGAGGAATATAACATGTTATGAGTACTGTAGTGTAGTGTGTGAGTCATGAGGGATATATCATGTTACTAGCCGAATTACCCGCGCCTTGCGCGGAACATTTTCTGTCGACCATACATGGGGATCCTTCATTTAGGGGACCACATGAGCCACGGATCATATGTTTCATGACCAGATCATGGAGTTCTTTATCTTGCTCTTTTTTAGGGATTTCTGCAGAAATTGCCAAATCATATTCTTCGGCTTTGAATTTGTGCTCTGGAGCTATCCAGAAAAGAAAGTGTGCATGGGGTAAACCTTTCTTCTGGTACTCAATGGTGTACAGCCATGCTTGCAAAGTACCAAATATTCCCTTCTTCATATGTTCCATAAACTTTTTCACTTTTAATCTGAAGACTCTCGCAACAATATCTGGTCGATCATGACTCTCTTGTCCGGGAGCCAAATTGTCAACAATTTCGGGCCAACGTGGATTACATGTCATAGTGATAAAGTAATCTTCTCTTCCGTAGTGTCTCACAAAGGCCATCGCATCTGACCTTTTTTCATGAACGTATCGAGGACCACCAGTATAGGTCGCTGGAAGCACAATGCGACGACCAACTTGATTTGGATCTCCATCAGCAGCAAGCAGACTGTCACGTAAATCTGAGTAATTTTCAGCACGGAGACTTTGCTGTTCTCTTCTCAAAAACTTCAATCTTTCAGTTTCTATTTTGCAGTATGCATCCACCAAGAATTGCTGGAAGAGTCGCCTTCCAAGCAAGAGGTAGTTCCCTTCTCTGCACATAATATGGAAAGAGTAAAACTGCAACTATGTGACTTTCCGACCATTTCTCCCTTGCAAATATATGTGGTAGCCGTCTGTTCCATATGGAAAAAAACAATGGATACATCAAAGGATCATAGGATCGATGTAGCTCTGAAATTCTCCTCAATCCACCTTGTTTCAACTGAAGAACAATATCTCTATTTTCTGTAGGCTCATTTGACATTAAAATTGCAACTTCAGCCCCTGTTGGTGCATTAAAACGCTGAGCATGTTCTCCCTGGGCACGCTTATATTCCCAAATTACAATGTTCTTGTCATTTATGTTTCCTTGCCGTACTTCCTCTAGCGCTGTCTTTAGCTCCCTCACATAATGATTATTTTCATTTAACCAGGCTGTAATTCTCTCCAATATATCAGCATTCAAGTTTTGATGCTCTCCTCTTGCTCTCAGTTGATCTTCCAAAGTGTCCAAAAAGTAAACTTGAATGTATCTTGCTCTTCTATCTTCAGGAGGCATCAGTGACCCAAGTTGATGGTAAATTTGTCCTTGGATTCTTACAGATGGATTCCATCCTTGGACAGATGCATCTTTGTGACCAAAGCTGGTCATGGCAAACAGAGAGTTGTACTCCCTGAGTCTTGACAAAAAGTGTTTGCTGAATTGACTTTCCCTAGTGAACAGTTCTTCAAATAACTGAGGCAGGGGTGGAAATTGATCCAGTGTAACCTTTCCATTTCCACAGCAAATTTCTTAGCGCCACACTGACAAAGTTTGGTCATTTCTCCAATTGCAGCCTTGTTACATGGGTCATTTTTGTCATACAGTAATGCAGAACGTTTAGCATTTTGAATCTCACGTTGTCTTAAATTTTGATACCTGTTTCTGTCAGCAATCAAACGCTGTTTTCTCTCTTCTTCAGACTCATTTCTTCTTGCAACTATATGGCGAAATCTATCTTGCTCCTGTCTTTCTTGATGCTCACCCAAGGTTTAATTTTGCCGAGACTCTGTTTGCCTCTGTCTTTGCCTAGAAAGTCGTTCTTCCCTTGCATCACAGCTTTCAGATTGACGACGAAGCCTCATCCTTTGTGCATGTGGAGTATTTGCATAACTGGACTTTCTTTTCCGTGGCATAATGGATGTCTGAAAAAAAATAAGTAAATGAAAATGTTAAAAAAGTAGAGTCATTAACTAATAATTTTTCTTGCCATAATTCTCGTGATGTTTTGTCATAGATAAAATGTCTAAATTTGCCAAATTTTTCTATAAAGGGAGAGGTAATTTTTGTTGTTGTTTTACGTTTAATTAATAGAAAAAGCCCGGGATAATAGAGGTTCCAATACTCAAGTTATGGGCTTCCAAAATTTTCAATATAGGGGGGTTTAGCCCCCATTAGGGTGTCTTAATATTATTGAAATTTGCTGATATTTTGTGAATAGGCAACATTTCTGGTCATTTACCTATGGTTTAAATTTCATTTAAATCGAAGGGAAAAAATTTTTCAGTGGAGGGTTTGTGCCCCCCGGGGACCCCCTTTGATCAAAATGAAATATACTTATCCAAGTACCCTGGGTAATGTAGTTTCAGAATATATATGGTTATGGGGGTCTATCTTCAAAACCCTAGGAGGAGTTCGTGAACAAAGAGACAGAGGCTACAACTTTATATATATAGATGAGTACTGTAGTGTGTGAGTCATGAGGGATATAACATGTTATGAGTACTGTAGTGTAGTGTGTGAGTCATGAGGGATATATCATGTTATGAGTACTGTAGTGCGAGTCATGAGGGATATAACATGTTACGAGTACTGTAGTATAGTGTGTGAGTCATGAGGGATATAACATGTTATGATTACTGTAGTGTAGTGTGTGAGTCATGAGGGATATAACATGTTATAAGTACTGTAGTGTGTGAGTCATGAGGGATATAACATGGTATGAGTACTGTAGTGTAGTGTGTGAGTCATGAGGGATATATCATGTTATGAGTACTTGAGTAGTCATGAGGGATATAACATGTTACGATACTGTAGTATAGTGTGTGAGTCATGAGGGATATAACATGTTATGATTACTGTAGTGTAGTGTGTGAGTCATGAGGATATAACATGTGTTATAAGTACTGTAGTGTGTGAGTCATGAGGGATATAACATGGTATGAGTACTGTAGTGTAGTGTGTGAGTCATGAGGGGTATAACATGTTATGGGTACTGTACTGTACTGTAGTTTGTGAGTCATGAGGGATATAACATGTTATAAGTTCTGTAGTGTGTGAGTCATGAGGGATATAACATGTTATGAGTACTGTACTGTGGTGTGTGAGTCATGAGGAATATAACATGTTATGAGTACTGTAGTGTGTGAGTCATGAGGGATATAACGTGTTATGAGTACTGCAGTGTGCGAGTCATGAGGGATATAACATGTTATGAGTACTGTAGTGTGTGAGTCTTAAGGGATATAACATGGTATGAGTACCGTAGTGTAGTGTGTAAGTCATGAGGGATATAACATATTATGAGTACTGTAGTGTGTGAGTCATGAGGGATATAACATGTTATGAGTACTGTACTGTAGTGCGTGAGTCATGAGGGATATAACATGTTATGAGTACTGTAGTGTAGTGTGTGAGTCATGAGTGGATATAACATGTTATGAGTACTGTACTGTGAGTCATGAGGGATATAACATGTTATGAGTATTGTAGTGTGTGAGTCATAAGGGGTATAACATGGTACGAGTACTGTAGTGTAGTGTGTGAGTCATGAGTGGATATAACATGTTGTGAGTACTGTACTGTGAGTCATGAGGGGTATAACATGTTATGAGTATTGTAGTGTTTTGTGGTGCTTCATGAGTTATCATTATTGCAGGTGCTTGATAAAATATGGGAGGTGAACCTTGGTGCTCACACAGAGGAAGAATTACTCCAGAATGAACGGCTGTGTTGTTTCCCGGTAAGTGAAGTACTGTGATATACTGTATTGTGTTATTGTCCATATACTGTACTGTTACCGTACCGGGCCGCATTTTCAAAAGCATTTACAGGACTGTATCTCTTTGTTTACCCTGTAACTGGACTTACAGTCTCCGATCGGTATAATTAAAACAAATATTTGGCACTGGACTCGGTAAGCAAGTTCGTATTCGAGGCCGTAACTTACAGGACCTCCTTAGGTGTTGTAACATGATCAACCCGGATATAGTGAGTCAAAATTTCCCGATTGCATTAAAAAATATAAACTAAATACAGTACTGTACTGTACAGTATACTGTACAATAATAAATAAAAAACAATAGAATACTGTATTTTAACTTACTTTGAGGTGGGTATGTCATATTCCTGGCAGCTTTTTTACATATCAAATGGCTGATTGTAGAGGCTGTCGATGATGACATGCGATATTCTTTACAGAGTGCATTGGTTCTAATGCCTTCTTCGTGTTTCATTATAATTTCTGCACTGTATATTATCAATATGCTGACTAAATTTCAGAATGACTAATAATTTTAATATAAAAAATGCAGAAATATTCAAGAACACAACTTTCTTGATATTTACTCCACTGGGAACGAATGTAAACATACAGTCTGCGCGGAATATTAAATCGCGATAGGGTCGACGAACTAAGTTCTCGCAAAAATAAGATCATATGTCGTGAAGGCTGTCCTCGGATGCGAGATGTCAAAACGCCTGGTTTGCTGGCAAGTGGTGACATTTGGCAACTGAGCACACATCACGGTTTGTAGTCAGTACGCCTCTGGCAACTGTGTGGGGAAGATTTATTGTGCGGGTTCCCGCGCCATGTGGCCGTGTTTTTGTCTAGTTAAAGGTGCATTAACCCAACATAGTGGCCATCAGAGATGTCCAGGAGGGTTACTACAAGAGACGATATTGTAGCAGTGATTGCATTGTACAAAGTGAACCATGTACTGAGAGAAATTTCGGCTCAGACTGGTGTGGCTCTACGAGTTGTTCAAAATGTTGTCAAACATTTCCGTGATCTTGGAGAGGACAAGTTACCAGCTCCATTACCTAAGTCTGGTAGGCCTAAATTATTGTCTCCACGGACACTTAAGGTTATTTCTCGACAAGTTCGGTCCAATCCCTCACTCACAGCACGTGAAGTGAAAGAGAGAAACCCCCGTCTTCTGAGTCACGTCTTGTTACGTTGTGTTCAACAAGCCCTGCATGATGACCTGGGATTTAAGAGCTTTCGTGCCCGCCGTAAACCTCTGTTGACAAAGAGACAGAAGGAAAATAGAGTGAAATTTTGCAAGAAATATGAAGTGTGGGATTTAGAGACATGGAGGAGTGTATTATGGTCGGATAAGGCTACGTTTTCTGTGAGTGGGAGTAGTGGAGGGAGGGTGTACCGCCCGCCCCACTCAGACGCGCACCTCCCACAGTACACTGTAAAGACTGTTGAGCACCCTGCCTCGCTTATGGTTTGGGCTTCCTTTACGTATTATGGTGTTGGTGAACTAGTAATCCTCCCTAAGAACCAGATGATGAATCAGTACAACTATCTTGAACTGCTCAGTGATTTCTTACCTGAATCATTTGATAAAGCAAAGGCAAGCCTTTTCATGCAGGACGGTGCCCCATGCCACACTGATAAAAGTGTCATACAGTGGCTCAAAGACTGTGAGGTACCTTTCTTTAATGACTGGCCTGGCAGTAGCCCAGATCTTAACCCAGTAGAAAATTTGTGGTCCATTATTAAGCGTCGTCTGCGCGACGCTGACACATCATCAATCCCGAAGCAAGAGGCAGCCAGCAAGGATACCTGGGCTAACTTGCCACCTGACCTCTTGCAAAACCTTGCTGACAGTGTTCCTCGAAGGCTAAAAGACTGTCTGAAGCGCAGAGGAAACACTACAAAGTATTAATTGAAGTGGTAAGGGTTACTTGACTTTATTTATATAATATAATCGTAAATATGCATATTTTTTCAGCACATGATCTCACAATCCGCGCAGACTGTAGAAGAGATTACTGTATTGGGTGACTAGCCGATCAGCTGATGAGCACAGCAAAACGTGTTTGTCGTAAGGATTTCGTTAATCAAAGTTTTGTTCGTTAATCAAGCTGAAAATCCTTATGGGAGGTAATTCGTTAACCGAACTTTCGTTAATCGAACCGTTCGTTAACCGAGGAACCACTGTACAGTGGTCCCTTGGTTAAAAAAATTTTCGGTTAACGAATTACCTTCCATAAGAATCTTTAATTCGGTTAACAAACAAAAATTTGATTAACGAAATCCTTACGAAAACATGTCAACATGTTTTGGCATGCGCATCAGCTGATAGGCTAGTCTGCCAATACAGTAATCGGTTCTAGGCTTACATTCATTTCCTTTGGAGTAAATATCAAGAAGGGTGTGCTATTCAATATTTTTGCAAGTTTTATATTAAAATTATTAGTCATTATAGCACTTATTTAACATACAGTGAACCCTCACTTTACACGGTTAATTGAACCCACGGCGGCCCGCGTAAAGTGAGAAACGCGTAAAGTGAACAACATAACATATGGGATTAATTGAAATAGAGACCGGACCGACCCCCAAACTCCACTTTTTCCCAACACAATACGTACGTTTTACTAAAAATAACATCTTGACACTTATGGTATTCACACACACATAATATAGAAAGGAACAATCAATAAGAGAATAATAAACTGAAGGTTAGGTTAGAAAAAAACAAGGTTGGGGTTAACACTTACGTTAATAGAAGAGATGGGTCGGCGTAGGGGAATGGAGGCTGGTTCCGAGGCAGAGGGCAGGCTACTGGTCCTCAGGCGAGTCTTCATCGGTGTCATCCACACTTACTAGTGCCTCCCTGACAAATCCCTCAAAGTCATCATCACTGTCTCTGCCTCTGTCACTATCACTGGCTTGGGCTGGCTGTGGTGGGTTGCGGGCGAAGAACTCTGTTATGCTTTGCTGACGGCTGGTGTTTATGTTGTCGTGATAAACCTTGATGTAGGGCTCCATAGTCTGCAACAGCTGGGTAGTGAAGATTTCATACCTGTTAGCGTCAGGGTCGTCGGAAAGGAGGAGCTTGACTTTCTCAATACGCTCGATGGCACCCCTTACATTACTATGGGATAAGCAGCGTTCTTCTTGGGATGACGCACCACCTGCCTCTTCACTGACGTCATCTACCATCTCGTCGGTTGTCACATCAGGATCCCTTATCACCTCCAGGATGTCGTCGTTGGTGGTCTCGGAGAAGCCTGCAGCTGTAACACTTGCTGCAGCTTCTCTGGCAAGGTCCACTGCTACTGCAACAGTCTGAACCTCACCAGTCACAGATTTACTCTGCCTAACACCTGGAATGCCTTGCAACACATGTCTCCATGCGTGACGAACAGTTGCTACAGACAGCTGATCCCATGCCTCCACCAAGAAGTCCACAGCTTTCTTGACGTTGAATGTTCTCCAGAATTGTTTCAAAAGTACTTCTTGCTCTGCAAACTGTTGATCCTCGTCGTCTTCGCTCTTGCTATCGGTGTTGGTGTCACTCAGGTTACGCAACTCTTCCTTGGTGTTGGTGTAGTCGTTCAGGAGCTTGAATTTTTTAGCAGAGAATGCAGTTTTTACATTACAGATCAATTCTTGGTCCTTGGGCTGTATTATAGACGTAGTGTTGGGAGGAAGGAAGACCACTTTTACGTTGGGGTGACGATCTAACAGTAGGGGCGAGTGTCCTGGTGCGTTGTCAAGCAGCAACAAAATCTTGAATGGCACATTCTGTTGCTCACAGAATTTCTTCACATCGGGAACGAAACAGTCATCAAACCAGGAGAGGGACAGTGTAGAGAACATCCACGCCTTACGTGCGGTCAGCCAGTGGACATTTAGCTTGGTCATGTCCATGCTCTTGTAGGCGTGCGGCTTGCAGGCTGTGTGGATCACCGATAACTTGAGCTTACAGGTACCGGAGGCATTGGTGGTAAACAGGACGGTGATGCGCTCCTTCTGCAACTTCTGGCTCCGACACTTGCTGGCATTCTTCACAACAAAGGTCTTGGAAGGTAGCTTTTTCCAAAAAAGACCAGATTCGTCCATGTTAAACACCTGGTCATCGGTGTACTGTCCTTCCTCCATAATCTCACGTAAAAACGGAGGAAATTCCCTAGCCGCAACACCGTCAGCACTAGCTTCTTCACCACCAATGTTGATATTGGTGATCTTGTTCCTCTTCTTAAACCTCTGTAACCACCCAGAGGAAGCATTAAAGGGTTTAGGCTCTGTAATTCCCATTTTTCGTGACACTGCAGCATACAGTTCACGTGCGTACTACTTAACTGAGCGCGTGTCCACCGCCATGTTCCGTCGCGCTTGACGCACCAAGTAGCTCACAAGTAATTTTTCCGTCTTGAGAAGCACCTGGTTGTGGAAATACTTGATCATAGAAGCACCTGTAGACTTTGTGATGTTCATGTGCTCCTTAATCTTGGCTGCATCCTTCTTAATTGTCCTGATAGTTGATTCGTTAACACCATGCTGGCGCGCGAGATTAACCTGTCTTGTTCCTTTCTCCAACTGTTGTATGATCTTATATTTGATTTCGTAGCTTAAGGAACGTCGTGTCTTCTTTGGCTTAGGGCGGCTGGGTCCAGGTAATGCAAGATTTCTTTGTGGTTGTGGTCCGGTGGAAGCCATTCTTATGGAACAATCGATACCGATATACACGGTGTAGCCGGGAGGGGTGTCACTGACGCGGTAGGTCAAGGGGCTTGAACGCTCTCGCGGCGGGGCACGTCATAGTACTACATTAAACCAATCACAGCTAGCAGGGAGGGAGGTAAGGATGCTTTGCCCAATCACAGTCCGCTACGTCATATGACGTCACCGATAACGCAACAAAGACATACACTCACAACCTACTCGCGCCGCTTACACAACATGGAGGATGGCGGGAGAGGGGACGAGAGGTTTGGATCCAAAAATGGCGCGGCGCGAGAGGACCCCCAGCCGCTCTCCGCATAAAGGGGTACACGCACCTCGGAAAGTGAGCATTCCGTGTTCGGCAGGGTACCGCGTAAACGTGGAAACGCTTAAAGTGGGACCGCGTAAAGCGAGGGTTGACTGTATTGATAATATATGCAGTACAGGGAACTAGTTTTTTGTGCGCCCATCAGCCACTTCACTCACCCACTAAGGCATCTCTTTAACTCTCGGTACAGTGGAGGAAACATCTTGCTTGTGGGTCTCTTGAACACAGAGTATTTTTACATTTTTACAGTACATTTATTGGTCATTCTGAAATTTATTTAACATATTGATAATATATAGCGCAGTGCAGTGTTGATTTAAATAAAATAATCTTTAATTACAGCTAGTGAACTTAAAATTTTAGCGGTGAAATTACTGTATTGAATCAAGCATGGGTCCATTGAAATCTAGAAAGGCGATTTCAATTCAAGTGAAACGGGAAATTACTAAGAAACATGAAGAAGGCATTAGAACAAATGTGCTTAGTAAAGAATATGGCATGTCGGCATCAACTGTGTCGACAATTATTACGCAGAAATAAAAATTTAAAGAAGTGAAAGTGAGAGATAAATCTACCAGGGAGGTTACTTCCTATTTGGATTAAGGAAAAACAAATAAAAGGAGATTCAATTTCTACTGAATTTATTTGTGAAAGAGTCAGGAAAATATACGAACATTTGAAGGAAGATCAACCTAGTTCTTCTGAAACTGAGTTTGAAGAGTTGAGGGCCAGCAAGGGCTGGTTCGATAAGTTTAAGAAAAGAAGTGATATTTATAGTGTTGTTAGGCATGGTGAAGCTGCCAGTGCAGATAAAGAAGGAGCAGCAAAATTTGTAGTGGAGTTCAAGGAACTGGTGGATGAAGAAAATTATCTTCCACAGCAAGTGTTCAACGTGGACGAAACTGGGCTGTTCTGGAAGAAAATGACCTAAAGGACATTCATCACCAAAGATGAAGCCTCTTTTCCTGGGCATAAACCCATGAAGGACCGTCTCACTCTATTGCTTGGTGCCAGTGTTTCAGGGGATTTCCGACTGAAGCCTATGCTTGTATACCACTCTGAGAACCCCAGGGTGTTCAAGCAACAAAAAGTGGTAAGAGGACAAGTTGGTGTTTATTGGAAGTCCAACCGTAAGGCATGGGTAACAAGACAGCTCTTTAATGAATGGGCAGTTGAGGGGTTTTGTCCTTCTGTGAAGAGTTACCTAACCACCAATAAACTTCCTTTAAAGGCTCATCTCCTTCTGGATAATGCCCCTGGTCATGACCCTGACCTTGCCAGCACTTTGGAGGCTCGATTTGACTTTGTGAAAGTGTTGTTTTTGCCTCCCAACACTACATCAATTATACAGTCAATAGACCAGAATGTGATCAGCAACTTCAAGAAGCTGTACATGAAGAAAATGTTCAGGTGTCATCAGGCAACTTCCACTGATCCTGAACTAACACTGTCACAGTTCTGAAAGACGCAAGTGGACGAGGATGATGTTGAAGAGCTTGTGATGTCTCATGAGCAGGAACTTACTGCTAAAGACTTGCAGCAACTGGATGTGATGTTAGAAGCTGACAGTGGTGAAGAGGAAAGGGAAAGTGATGACCATATGTCTTCTTCAGACTTAAAAGATGTTGTTCACTACTGGGAGATGTTCAGGAAACTGTCTTCAAGACACCCTGATGTGGAAGCAACAGAACCTATTTTGTGTACTGTGGAGGGTAAAGTGGTCTCCTTCAAGAACCAGCTAATGATGAGGAAGAGAAATGCCCCACAAAGAAAAATTGACAGTTTCTTCTCCAAAAGGCAGTGGGAGAAAGATGCTACCCCCCAGCCTTCCACTTCAAAAGGAGAGAGGATTTTCCTGTTGGAGAATCTGTCAGTCCAGAGGTTCCTGACATTATTATGTAAGGTGACTCGCCTTCCAAGAAGCATTAAAATGCTTCTTCTCCATCCCCACTTCCTTCTCTTCTCCCTTCTCCTCCACCCCCACTTCCTTCTCTTCTCCCTTCTCCACCCCTACTTCTAATTCCCATCATCATCACCAACCAGGAGCCTTCTACATACACGCCTCAAAGTAAGTGTACTGTACTGCATTTTTTTTTTTTTTTACTTTGTATGTACTTTTCAGTGAGTTGGAACCAATTACCCAAAATCCCATTGAACCGATGGATTCGGTTAACGAAATTTTTGGTTAACGAACGACCCTCTGGAACGAATTGTGTTCGTTAACCGAGGAACCACTGTGTGTGTGTGTGATACTGGATTGGGTTATGTTTGTCACTGGTTAATCGTTAATCATTGTCCTCAAGTATTATTTAAACATAATTCCATCTTCACTAATTACCTTCAAATATGTCTAGCAATTATCACGTGCGTCGATCTCAGCTGATTTCTCCTTCTCTCGTGATTGGTTGATGATTTTGTTCACTGTGCGACGATTGGCCAACTAGCTCCTGCACTGCCATCTACCTTTGGACAAGAGAACTGAATTTACAGGGTAAGCACTAGAGTTACATACTGCTTACGGACACACAATTAAATTTTGAGAATGCCAAATTTACTGGACCGTAAGGCGTCCATAAGTTAGGTTACCGTATCTGTGCTGCTGTACGTAACTGATGAGGTGTTTCTTAAATGCGGCCCCTGTACTGTACATGTTTTACCTCATAGTCATTAAGAGTTACTTTACCCAGTACAGTAATGAGCAGAAGAAGATAGATGTCGACATGGTTGGTGGGCTGGTGGGGGAGGTGATACCTGACCACTCCTGCCTCGTCTTCTGCCCCACAAGACGCAACTGTGAAACTCTCGCTGAGTTGATCTGCAAGGTGTTGCCTACACAGCTGAAACAGGTGAGTACATGTGTTGCTCACTGAGTACATGAGTGTTGCTCACTGAGTTCATGAGTGTTGTTCACTGAGTACATGAGTGTAACACCCTTATGGTGTCATACTGCCCTTGTGTAACACTTATGGTGCCATACTGCCCTTGTGTGGTAGTGGGACGTGTGTGTGGGAGCTCCCATGTTTTTCGTCAAAAACGGACTTTCCAGGAGTACCCGGCCTGATTTCTAGGAAGTCTGATTCGTGAGTGACATGTGAGTGTCGTGACCAGTACAATATCTATCTGTGATCCCCCTAAGTAGATATATTTGTCAATTTACTGGTGAATCTGTGACTACCACATTAGGTATAGGCCCACCAAATTCCCCTCAGTGCCAGGGCTTGTAATCTGAGCCCTGTCCACCCTCCCCCACCGTCCCACCAGGCCACCCAGCTGACCACACAACTTGACCGACTCCCTACTACTGCCAGCTACTCACCCCTCACTAACTCCAATATGTCTAAGTTGGCTGCTAGTATCAAACATTCAAATTTCACGAAACAACAGCTGACTGATGTGATAATGGAAGTCCAACGGACTCTCATACAGGACATCATACACCAAATGAATAAGGAGATCATCAGGAAGCTAGAAAAGGCTGACCGGCATCTCACTGACCAGCTTAGTGAGATTAAGAGAAGCTTGGAATTCTCGCAAGGAGAAATAAATGACTTACAAGCAAAATTGAACGTTGAAGCTAAAGACAACTGAACACTCAAGACCCAAGTTCAACAGCTGAGTGAGGAGAATTCCAAGCACAAAACGGAACTAACGACAACTGCAGACCGGGTGGATTATGTGGATGACATAGGGCGGCGAAACAACCTCAAGATTGCCGGAGTCGCCGAAGATGCCCACGAGAACCGGGAGTCATCCCAGCACAAAATTTCACGCCTGCTGAATGACCATTTTAAACTTCCTGAAGTAAAGTTTGACCGTGTTCAACACTTCGGGAACCCAACTCCTCCCGCCCCCGCGACATCATAACAAAATTCTCATCCCCCTCTGACCGTGACAAAGTGTTTTATCTAGCTGAAAGACACCACTATCTTCGTCAACGAGGATCTCTGCCCAGGTATGACTAAAGCCCGCCTACAGCAAATGGACCAGTTTAAAGAAGCCAGGAAACAAGGGAAACACGTGACGTTAAGTCATAAAACCCTTGTTGTGAGGGATTGGGCAAGTGGACACCCGCCCACTCACCCACCCGCTGTACCAACCCCTCTAAGCCCCTCGAGAACCCCCTACCCACTGAGGGGGAACCAGCCACTGTCGCGATCACTTGAGGAGTTTCCCCCTCTGCCGGCCAACTCGAGTACTACACGTCTACCCTCTGTGGTGGAAACCAGCAACCCTCAAAACCGAGTGACAGGCGCACCTCCCACTCTATCTGGGAATCACCCTCAACAGTACCGGTCATCCTAATTCTGTTGGTTGTAGCACTTGTGAGTACGTGTCCCCCCCCCCCACTTTTATAATTTTCATAGATCTTCCTTTTTCACACCTCGGTGACCCTGAGTTTTTACTGTTCCTTAATCAGTATCAATGTCCCCACAATGATGATGCTAGTGTCATTCCCTTAGATGTGCTAGATAGTATGTGTTACACCCCCTTTACCCATGGTGTCGACAATACTCCCTCATATCGATCCTGATGTCTTTCTACAAAACTCACTGGGTTACACCAACCCCAACTGTAACTATTACTTTCCTGACTCCCGAGTTTAGTTCTAGTCTTCTACTACCTCATTCCTTCTCCTTGATTAGCCATAACATCAGCAGTATTCCCCTTCATCTAGATACCTTTTTAGATCAGTGTTTATCTTCTATTGCCCACAAATTTGACGTACTTGGGTTCTGTGAGACCAAACTCGCTAACGATATTGAACATTTGTATAACATTCCTAATTATAATAGACACTGCGTCAACACGTCACGACACAGTGGTGGTGTCGCCCTACAGTATATGTTGATATCATGTGTAAAACTTTTGTAAGAGATGATTTAATGGTTCAGGAGGAGTACATGGAGAGTGTTTTCATTGAATTACGTAATGACACACGAAATATCCTAGTAGGAGTAATCTACAGAAGATCCCACACTAATGTAAGGAATTTTCTTGATAAATTTTTGGAGCTTATCACCAACATAAGTTCAAAGAGGAAACATTGCTACATTACAGGAGATTTCAACCTTGATCTATTAAAATCAGAAACTGACACCTCAGTATTAGACCTTCTTGCTACCTGTCATTCTAAACTCTTCTTCAACACTATAACCAAACCCACTAGAGCAGGGGTGTCAATTATGCGGCCCGACACACTCTTGCATGCGGCCTGTGGCTCATTTGCTGCTCCAGCCTTACCTTAAGGAGCTAAAACTAAATAGAGAGTGTATCCCTCAGCTGAATAAAATAGTCTGCTGTTTTCTAGAACAAAATACTCAATCAACATCACCAATGAAAGAACAATAAGACTAGTTGCAGAAAGAATTGGTGAATTATCAGAGAATATTAACAGTCAACTCAAAGACAAAGTTAAGTCCTTTACTGCATTTTCAGTTGCAATTGATGAAAGTACCGATGTAAGTATTGTAGCACAACTTGCAGTTTTTATATGTGGTGTGGATGAAAATATGCAGGTAACAGAAGAATTTGTGAAACTGGTATCAATGAAAGGAACAACAGGTGATGACATCTTTGTGGGTTTGGTAGGGGCACTGGATAAATTAGGTGTTGACTGGGCACAAACTGTGAGTCTGGCTACAGATGGAGCACCACAAATGGTGGGTAGAAAAGCTGGCGTGGCAACAGAATTAAAGGAAAAACTAATAGCTGTGAACCCAAACCATCAAATTTATAAAGTGCATTGTATTATACATAAAGAAGTGTTGTATAGTAAAACATTAAAGATGGATAATGTCATGGATGTTGTTATAAAGATGGTGAACTTCATACACGCACAAGGTCTGAACCACAGACAGTTCAACTGCTTATTGGAGGAAAATGAGAACGCACACGGACTGCCATATCACACTGATGTTCGCTGGTTAAGTCGGGGAGTCGTACTGAAGCGATTTTATGAATTGCTCAGTGAAATACAGATGTTTATGAAACGGAAAGGAAGGGATTTGCATGAACTGAAAGATAATGAATGGGTTCAAGATCTAACTTTCATGGTGGAAATTACAGAACACACAAATTACTTGAATACAAAGATGCAAGGATGTAATAAATTGGTGACAGAGTTTTATGACTGCATTCATGCCTTTGAGATGAAACTTCAGCGTTTTGAACGGCTACTATCAGAGAGTAATCTTTTTCACTTTCCGACCTTGAAGTCCCTGCAAGGCACACCTGAGTTTCATGCTGATATCAACACAAAAAAAGTATTGTATCAAGATTTCCAAATTAATGAATGAGTTCCAAGAAAGATTTGCTGACTTTAAAAGACAAGAAGAATTTTTTCATTTTTCGGGACCCATTCTCTGTTGGTGTTAATGAGGTACCAGAACATCTTCAGTTAGAATTAATTGAGCTCCAGTGTGATTCTGTGTTGAGGAACAAGTTTTTGAGTGTTGATGTTGGCACATTTTATCAATATTTTGGACCAAATTATCCCAGGATTAAATGTTTTGCCTCAAAGATTGTCAATGTTCGGAAGTACATATGTCTGTGAACAACTCTTTTCTGTGATGAACTTGAACAAGTTTCGGCTTCGGTCTCAACTTACTGATTCAATACTGAAGGTTGCTACAGTTCAGTCGTTAGTGCCAAACTTTGATGCACTGGTCCATACCAAGAGGTGCCAATTATCAGGAAGCAGCAGTAGCAAACAATAAGATTGATCAAGGTAAGTAAACACTTGATTTGTTTGTTTTTAAGGGTTTCGCACGAGCCAGACTAAATCCACCTTTCTTATTTTGTCGTACTACTCACCTAAGAGGTGATTGCGAAGTGCTCATAATTATGTTACTTGTCCCACATACTGTGTACTCATATTAAATCTGGCCTGCTTTGGCAAATGAGTTTGACACCCCTGCACTCGAGTAACCTCCACCTCTGCCACTGTGATAGATCATATCTGGACTAACGACACTACTAACAATCTTGCAAGTGGAATTATTTAAAACAATATCTCAGATCACTTCCCAGTTTTTGCCATGTATAAAACAGCCACAAGACTTGAAAGGTCTAGTAGAGTCTCAATACAATACAGAGACTACTGCACCGACAACATGCTCCTTTTTTAAAACGACCTAATGAATGCTAACTGGGATCTTGTCTATACCTCCGACAACCCTAATGTGAACAGCTGCATCTTCAATGCTTGCTTTGATAAATGCTTCCTGCTCAAGACTACTGTAAGTCAGTGAAAACTGTATCCATTTCCAAACCCTATATCACAAGCGAAATTATGATAATGATAAAAGAAAAACACAAACTCCAAAGGAAATTTGCAAAAGACCCATAACTTTCGGTGATGCTTACCGAAGTATCAGAAATAGAGTAATTCATACAGTTAGAAATGCCAGACGTAGCTATTATACAAATAAGCTCCAGTCGGCATCAGGTGACGGTAAGAAGACCTGGAATGTCATAAATTCTATTCAGATCTGGAACACTCAGCCTTCGGCCCCCCACTCAGCTTTTATGATAAATGATTCCGTTGTAACGGAACCCTCCTTCATTGCCAACCACTTCAATGAATATTTTATTAATGTTGGCAAAAATCTTAAAGAGAGCATCTCTGATCACTCTGAGGAATTTAGAGCTAACCTGCAAAACAGACAGCAAAATGAGCTGTTCTTATCCCCTGTCACAGCAGATGAATTATTGGCCATAAAAATGTCCAAAGATGCAGCAGCAGGCAAAGACAATATATCAATGAGCATCATTAAGAAAGTAGCCCACTTATTACTACCTGTTCTCCTACACATTTGTAACTCCTCCTTTACTAGTGGTGTCTTTC